CTCCCTCGTCTCCATCTCTCCCTGTCTCTGACTTTCAAATAACTAAATATTTTTTAAAATGTTTCTGTGGGGCCAGCAGAATGGCTCTATTGGCTAATCCTCCTCCTGTAAGTGCTGGCATCCCATGTCGGCATCAGTTCATGTTCTGGCTGCTCCACTTCCCATCCAGCTCCCTGCCTGTGGCCTGGGAAAGTACTGCAGGATGGTCCGAAATCTTGGGAGCCTGCACCCATGTAGTCTAGGTCTCCTAGAGAGGCTCTGGGCTCCTGGCTTCAGATCAGCTCTGCTCTGGCTACTGTGGCCATTTGGGAAGTGAACCTGTGAATGAAAGATCTTTGTCTCTTTTTGTCTCTGAAAATCTGCTTCTAGTAAAAATGTTTTTTTTAAAAATGTTTCTCATTATACCAATAGTAATATCCATGAAACCATTATTAAGACTTGCATACTTCTATGGATTCAAGTGCCAGAGGCCAGTGGAACCTCCCTTATTGCCATTTTCCAAACCCCAGAAGTGAACTTTCTGTTTTATCAGCAGTAGATATTATCTTTTTTATTTTATGTGCTCTTTATTTTTTGAAACAATTCTTTTATCAAACTCCAGACCCCAAATATAAGAAAAGTGAAAAGATTAATAAAAATATAGGGCCCAAATTCCAGAAAGTGCTCTTTTGGTTTTGTTTACATAATATTAGCAATTGTTTCTAATTTTCTGGTTAGGGCCCTGTATTGATTAAAATATAGCTGATCACCAGGGTGTAATCACTTGGCACATTCTATTCATCATGCATTAAAAACACTGTTTAGAATAGGAACTTCTGAATGTGGCCTGTGTTTGTGATTTTCAAAACCTCCTTGGGCACAATATTGAATCCTGTCACCTCAAGGGAGACAAAACATTTGAAGGAAGAATTGGTACCCTTTCTTGCTCTTAATAACATACTGCCTCTGTAATGCAAGCGGAAATTTGAGGGTTGGTTTTAGAATAAATAAACTCACATGTAGTTTGCTATTTAAATTCAGTAGACAATATTCCATGGTGCTGGTGCCGTATGATAATGGATGATTTTTTGCACTAACAAATCTGAATCACAAAGCTGTGTTGGAATTACATGGGGTGGTTATAGAAACATCTGTATAAGAAAATAGCCAAGGACAGCCTGGTGTCATATAAAAACTATTTACTAATAAATCTGCTTTTGATGGACTACTTAAAATGGACACATCAGGCATGAAAGATGTGCAAGTCTATTGCATAGGCTAGCTTTGTGAGCAATGGCAAGCTTTTACTGGCACACTGAGATAAGACAGAGCTGTCGATGGCGTCGGCACTAGTGCAAGAAATGCAATGATAATTCTGGGGCGTACTTATGAGAGTTACCATTTATTTTATCAAGTTCTGAATAAATGCAAGAGCAGAGTTATCTGGCAGTTCCAAATGAAATTGCCAACAACCCTTTAACGATCTCTGAAGAAAGAGGTTTGCATCCAGTCCAGCACAACCATCTTCCCATTGTTTGCTATTTGTAAAGCAAGAGATACCAGTGTGTGTGGTAATGATGGGACAGAGAAGTGATGGGAGGAATCTATTGTTCTGTTCATTCATTTGTTCTTTTTTTCTGCCATTCTTTTTTACTGCATCATGGACACTTTTAAGCGTAAAACTTCAGGGTTTGAAATGATGACCATGAAGTGGTTGCTTAGGTGAATATATGAACTGTAAGTCAGAGGGAGAAAAGTGTCTTTCATGGGGGAAATGCACTGAAACACACCATCAGACCTCTTTGACAGTTCCATGTGATGAAAAGGCATTTTTCAAAATTATTTTTAGGAAAAATGTTAGCAGTCAAGAATCCTGTTATAAAACCTTAAAATTTCATATTTAATCTAGCACTTAATTTTTTTAATTCTCTAAATCTTTTCAACTATTTAATTCAAGCATATTCTGATCATTCCTCTGGCATGTAATTGGTGGTTTTTTGTCCCTTTTATGTTTAATAATGTAAAGTCAACTATGGATCCTCTGTTATTGCTCACAGTAGATTGGCTTGGTTCCACTAATGTCTCTTGTCTCTTGCTAGATTATCGACTTGCAGGTTGTTTCTTTCAAACAGAAATCCCCTAGCCAGGCCAGGCTGCCAACAGACTGTTCCAGTGCATTCTCTCTGAGAGCAGCTGAGCCAAAGTACAGGGAATCTAAAGTAACTCTTTTGCTACCAGAAGCCGTATGCAGCATCTTGAAATGAGAAAGAATTTCTAGACCATCAGAATGATAAATGATTGCCTAGGGATGATGAGCAGAATTCCTGTTGTGACAGGCCATAGTGACCTATGGGAAAGAACCCGCCAGGTTTTTCTCTGTTTCTCCATTCATAGGCTTGGCACTGACAGCCTGTAAGACCTCTCTGGGGTTCTCTTCTTCCTTTTATGATGCTGTGATTCTAAGAAGAGGTGTACTAACAGACAGGAGCTGTGATTTCTGCCTCTGTCCCGTGTTGCTTGCTAGAGAGAGCAGGGGTTTTTAAGATTTCCCCAACTGTGACCAGATAGGTCAGTGAGTCTGGGTCAAGTTCTTCAATCATGTCTTATTTACTCTGTGAGTAAATGTGGGCAGGAGAGCCGCATCCTAGGGAGGAAGAAAAGAACACGAGGAGGGTTGGCAGGGAGTAAGAAAGCTGCTTAGGGACGGAAAGGGAAAAGGAGAAGGCAAAGGGAGAATTAGGCAAAGGGCAGAGAGATTAAAGGTGAGGGTACCTTCCAAGCAATAGATCAGGGTCTTTTTTCTCCATATTAAGAATTTCTGCCTACAAAAATGCAAAAGCATAATGAGCAGCTAAATACAAATTCATTCCCTGTATCATTTAGATGACACGTTTCCAGGCTACAAAGCGTCATGTCTGGTTAAAGGGTTGGTTGGATTCCTCCATTACTCCATATATAACAAAGAAGCTGGAGTTTCATTACCCTGATATTGTCTGACAGTGGGTGAAGTTAACTTTATTAGAAGCTGTTCTTTTATATTATGCAGTATAGCCTGGGATGTATTAGCTTTGACATTTCTTTACATCTCCATACGTTGTAAAGCGAATTTACTATGAGACTAATTTAGAAGGGAGCATTTCATAGGAGGAAATAATGGTCGATATCAGCTGAGTTTCAAATTATTAGCAGGATCAGAAGTCAGGAAAGATGCATAGGGGAATGGAGGGAGGTAGAGAATGTCATCATTTCCTTAGGAGTGTATCTAATCTGTCCATGAATATTAAATATTAAAATAATTTTAAGATGTATACATGTACATTCAACAATAATAATGCTGGTTTTTATATTTTTGATAGTGGCATATATTCCTAAAATTCCCATGGCTTCAAACAATGTTAAGGAGTTATGGCTTTAGAAAAAGAAAAAAACCCTAAAATTTAAACATAAAAAAAAGGAGGGGGTGATCATGATGGGTATGTGGTTAACCTGCAGCTTGGGATTCTCGCCCCACATATTGAATCTCGTTGGTTCAATTCCTGGTCCTGCCTCAGCTTCTTACTAAAGTGTACCATGGGAAACTAGCAGGTGACTGCTCAAGTAGCTTGATCCCTGCCACCCACATTGGAGGCTGAGACGGAGCTCCTGGCTCCTGGCTTCTGCCTGACCTAGACCTAACCTTTGCTAGTGCTTGGGAGTAAACTAGCAGGTAAAGAGATCTCTCTGCATGACTCTGACTCTGTTTCTGCCTACCTTTCAAATACACAAAATAAATACAATTTTAGACAGCATTTTAAAGATGTTTGATTTGGTTGTTGAAGTCATCATAAAAAGAAATCCCGATACATGTAGCACACACATGAACACACATATTTGAGCATATATGTGAAAACATATCGCAACGCATGTGAAAACTGTTGCTATTGCATCCTAATATAAACTGCTATCATCTCAATTTTAGTTATTATCTTAAAAATGTACTTGCTTTGGGCCTGATGCAATAGCCAAGTAGCTGAAGTCCTCTCCTTGCATGCACCAGGATCGCATATGGGAGCCAGTTCATGTCCTGGCTGCTCCACTTCCCATCCAACTTGCTGCTTGTGACCTGGGAAAGCAATCAAGGATGGCCTAAAGCCTTGGGACCCTGCACTCACATGGGAGGCCTAGAAGAAGCTCCTGGCTCCTGGCTTTAGGTTTTGGATCGGTTCAGCTTCACTCGTTGCAGCCACTTGGGGTGGAAGATCCTTCTTTCTGTCTCTCCTCTCTGTAATCCCGACTTCCCAATAGAAAAAAATAATAAATATTTATATATATATACATATATATATATATTTGCTTTGTAAGGCATTAAAGATTTTATTGACAATCATAAACATTTATGGATTACCTTTTTTGCTAAAGTTATGCTATTTGGCTACCATTTTTGAGATACCCATTAAGCACATAATAAATAAATGAATTTAAATCCTCTTTAAACCAAATAAAAATGAACATTCTGGAGTATTACACATAGTATTCTGCTTTCAATAAATTGGAATGTAAGTAGATCATAGAAGGGTAGTTCAGGTGCTAAGCTAACAAAATCTAGTCAATCAAATGGCAAAAAAAAAAGAAGAGGAGGAGAAGGAGAGGGGAAGAAGAGAAGAGAGGAGGAAAGAAGCAGAGAGGTGAGGAGAAAAGAAAAAAAACAAAGAGCGGAGTAGGGGCAACAGAGTGTTATGAACAATATTACCAATGGAGACATAAGAAACCCATCAGTCAGCTCACTCAGGTTCTTATCTGGTATATGGGGTTAGCAATGGAAAGGGTAGCGCCCCCCCTTCACATTTATCTTTGTGCCTGAATGAGTTCAATTTCACTTAGATTAGGACAGAAATTTCAGAACAGCAGGTTAATCCGTCCTGTCTTCATGGGCAACTGAGCAAACAGACCAATATCAGTATAAAATTGTAATTCTGGAGATTAATGTTGTCTTTCCTGTTTGCAGTGAATTTGACCTACTTGCCTTTTTTTTTCTTTTTCAGCCTCTGTTCAGGGTCCCTGGGAGAGAGCCATCTCACCCAACAAAGTGCCCTACTATATCAAGTAAGTTATAAGAATCACATTCTTAAAGGAGCGTTTTTCATAGCTAGTCTATATACTCACAAATGAATTTATGCTTAAAATATGACATTAGCCTGGCCTATAATACCTAATTCTTTCTTTCGTAAAGAAGTTTGAATAGTAAAATCATGCTAAAACCAACACTGACAGTTTGTTGATGTAGCTGGGAGCTGCTTTTAACCATAAGTCATTTAATGCATCATGTATGATGTTTTGCAATGTGGGCCACAGATTATCTACAATAGAATGAAAATCCCCAAATTATATTATTGATAATGGGAGTGAATGTTTATGGAAAAAAAAACATATATTTAGAGGTTTTCACACACTGCTGCTTCAGAGATGAAAGATTTCTGCAGTTATATGTGTGCAATTGTTTTAGGTGAATAAATCCATCATAGATCCAAAGATAGACAACCAACAGTCCTGAATTGGAGGAGCTGGGGGACCAGTATTCAGAAAGTGTCAACTAACAACAATGATCGAATGCTACTGTTTCCTGGAAGCATTTGTGCCAGGCAAAGGAATGCAGAAGCACCTTCAGAAGGAAGGCAGAAAAAAGGCTATTGCCTTAACTTTATACCTTTCTAATCTTTCCTCAGTTGTGCAGTAGAGTCTAACATTAATTTGACTTGGAATTGGCTACCCCAACAATTACTATTAATGGGGTTGATAAAATATCTTTGATAACAGCTGAAGTCTTTGAATTTGTTTCTGCCATGAGTCTTAGAAATGTTCAGCACTTCCTCCTTGTTTCAGCCTGCCATCTTTTGTTGAGTCTGTTTTTATTCTTCCACTGTCAATCAATTCTTCATAATCCAGTTCCAAAGCAATAACACCTGTTCTAGATCTTCATTACTACAGTTCTCAACAAATTAGATTTTGTGCTTCTATTTTGTTGATGCAGAAGAATAGGGGTGAAAGGACTCTTTCTCCTCCTCAAGGAGACATATATTCTTTAAGAAAGGGATTTACCTTTTGTCTTATTAAATTTTCCTGGGTGAGGTCTCTCAAAATTCTTCCTACATTGGTTCTACTTCTTAATTTCCTTATTTTAAATTTAACTGTATTGGTTTTCTGATACTTTAGTAATTTTGTCACATGAGACTATGTTTTAAATACTTTTTAATTCACATTTTATAATTAATACATTGAGTTGCACATGTACTACATTGCTTTACATCCACTGTGTATTTTCAAGAACCATTTCACTCATACACTTCATGTTGCCAAACAACACCCCAAACTGGTTGGAGGCATTGTTGTAGAACCCCCACACTGGGTCTACTTACCTGATGTGCAGAAACCCAATCACTGACATCAGGGTAGTGGAAGAAATTAGGTCTTTATTGGAATGCTCAGAACAAGGAGCCAGGCAGCTATTGGTTAATTCCCAGTCTCCCCAGGAGTCTGGAGTAAAGATTCTTATAGAGAAAATTGAGGAGACAGGTGCATGATCAGCTCATGTCCAAGTTCCTGCTTTGTCAGAGAGCTCATGACCTTCCACGGTCAGTGATGCTGTGATCTTTAAGGAATCCATGATGGACAGTGGGCTCCAGCTGCTCTGAGTTATATATATATGGCATGTACATTCTGCCCAGACCTGGAATTCCTCTACCCACATCACCCCAAGAAAATACTGGCCATTGATGTATATGTACATGACTCCATGAGTCCAGTGATTAGAAGATTGTAAAGCACCTACTATGCTACTTTAATATGAAAGATAATAGAGGGAGGGAAAATGGAGAGGAAGAGAGGTGAGGCGGAGTGAGGAATCCCTACACCTAAGAAACTTTATCATGTCAAAGAATAATAAAATAAAAATACATCCTGGAATATCAAAAAGTAATAGTCAGTGGCTTCCTTTTGATCAAGGCAGTCAAAGACACTTTGTGCAAAGTGAGGCAGAAAGGATGCTGGGTACTGCCTTTATATTATGGGGTTTGGTTTCCTTCACAGTCATTTTCAGCATCAGTATCTCTGTCACCACAGATTTGCATTCCCAAGTATTACCCAATTCCTGTATGACTGAAATGAAGAAACTTCTTATTTTTTTTTTTGTGGATGGGATTTTAGTACCTTGAAAGCCATTTTTCTTCAGATTACTACTTATTTGATGTTCATTAAGGATCTATAAGCAGTCCCAACCAACAACTCTCAACCTAGTTCTGTTGTCCTTGCCCTACATGTTTATCTACATGTGTATCTTCTCCCATCATGGTTCTGTGCTGAAGTAGAAATTAAATCAGAAAAAGAAAGAAAGAAAGAGAAGAGAGAAAAAATAAAAGAAAGAAAAAGAAAGAAAGAGAAAGAAAGAAAGAAAGAAAGAAAGAAAGAAAGAAAGAAAGAAAGAAAGAAAGAAAGAAAGAAAGAAAGAAAAGCAAATTCCTAAAAATGTGTAGCTAGCCATGTAAGCAACAACATATCCTGTATGTACGATCATCAGCTTCAAGGTAATGGTGTGTTAGAGAACATATTCATTTACTTACTTATTTGAAAATCAGAGTCACACGGCAAGAGGAATGGATGAAGGGATGGAGAGAGAAAGAAATAGATGGAGAGACAAAGAAATTTCCAAACTGCTGGCTCAATTCCCAGATGGCCAAAATGATAAAGGGCTGAGTCAGGGCGAATCCAGGAGTCTCCCACATGGGTGACAGTGGCCTAAATGTGGGGCCATCTTTCACTCTTTTTCCCATCATTAGTGGGGTACCACACTGCAAGTAGAATAGCCTGGACTTGAATAGATGCCCATTAACTATGCATGTGGGGGTTTTCCCAGCTATGCTACAATGCTCATCCATATCTTTGAACTTTGTGTAGAAAATACTCTGCAGTTGCATGTACTTAAAATTAAGAATGATATGATTTCTCACATATAACTCCAGAACATTAAGTTGTCAACAGGGATAGCACATGTTCCTAAAATGTACATTGTTAATAGCAGATTATTGATATCATTTGTATTTCCTGATTCCCCACTGCTGTTGTCTGAAATATTATGTTTAAAGCAACATATATTGATGTCCAAGTTTCAGTGGACTTTGTGCTCTGGTAAACATCATTTATAATTTGAGATGCCTTATTGGTCCAACATTTAAAAATAAAATACATTTACAATGGCACTGTTTAAACTAGCACATTTTTTCTCTTTTCTCATTTATCTTGACAACCTTTCAAGAGTTCTTACTACACATTCAAAGCTACCAAACCAAGTGTCTTCCCTGGACTTTTATTAGTGCCTGATAAATTTTCATTTTTTTAAAATTATGATTTATTTTTCATTTTGACTGAGGTTTATTATTGCATTATATACACACACTACAATTATTTATCCTTTCTCCTGTCAGAGTACACTTGTATTGTTTTTCTATTTCATGAATAGTGCTAATACAAAGCACTTTCATGTATGTCTGCCTGGATACCCATGTAAGTGTTGTTTTTGCATGTGTTCTTCATATATATATATATATATATGTTCTTCATATATATATATAATCTTATGATACAGTTCCGTAGGCTCTGGGATTTCCCTTGCAACCTCCTCAAATCTCCTCCTCCCATTTCCCCACATTATTATAGTAGTATAGTCCTTCATAAGCAGTCATACGTTCATCTTTCTGCTGTTTTAGTGTATTCTGACATTGTAGGTATAGAAAATGGCAGACAGCCTACCATCCTATTGTCAAGATATATGTAACAGTGCCATTGGGAGTCCATCTTTGATTTGAAAGTGTAGGTGCATGCTGCATTGTAGCTTCACATCTGGATATGATACTCTCGGTTACACAGTTACTATACATCCCCTCAAAGGAAAAGCCATAAACCAAAATCAACAACAGGAAGGAAAACAGAAAATGAAATTAAATAACATGCTACTGAATGACTGAAGCATCGCTAAAGAAATGAAAATCAAAAACCTTGAATGTATGACCTATGAGTCAGTGAAAATTTTAATAAGAGAAAAAACTGTTTCTCTATACTAGAATAAACTAGTAATATAACAAGAATTTTCTGTATCAACTGCACAATTCCTAATTGGTTGTTGAGTTGTGCACTCATATTTGAGGATTTTAAGTGATTAACAACATCATTTGCTCTAGATTGTAATTCAGGCAGGGTTTATGGCTGTAACCTGACACCAGCTTTTCATAAGATGCTAAGAACCTTGATTTTGATACTTCAAACTACATGTCTGTCTAGTTTATTAGTCCACAGCATCTATCGTTGTTACAGTTTTCATATTCCCTCTCCCTTGGGGCTCTCTTATTCCTGACAGCATTTCTTTCAGGTTATTTGATTACAGCTTTCATTGCCACTGGGAAAAAAAACCCACCAATAATGTTCAACCTGTTATAACTGCCTTTTCTATTCTGCCATTTTGTAGTTTTTTTGGCCTATTGTCAAACTCATGAAAATTTCAATATAATAGCCTTTAACCAGCTGCTGCCTTCTGTTAGTATTTCTTTCACCTTTTTATGCTGCGTTCTCCCATATGAGTAAACCAAACATAGCCAAGAACTGGAACTCACTTGCTTTCTTAATAAGTTGGAAAATTATTCTGCATTCTGGACTGTCACAAGAGTTTAGGAATCCCAAACTTGCGTGTCAGATGTTCCAATATAGATATCATAGAAAGAGTATAAGAAATATCACACTGGGTCAAACCAACAGAGCAAACAGCCTGGAGCGCTATGCCAGTCAAGGCACTCGTGTTCATTTATGTTAGTGAACCTGGTGATTTTTGTTTTAAGGATAGGAATGTACCATGATAATTTTTTAAGGTTGCACTTTAAGTCAATTGGCAGCAAACTTATCCAGTGGTAACTTAAAATTTACAATTCCCCACCTCAGCCTAGTCTTAAAATAAGTTCCATAAATGTAAACATGTATGTAAACATAAAGACATGTTTTAATTTCTCTTGAGTCTGAATCACTTAACCTCAAAGAGTGACCCTAGTCAAATGTTTTGGAATTCA